GGCTCCTCTGCAGGGCCTGGGGCTCCCAGGAATTACACAACACCACTGCATCCACCCTCACGTTGAGGTTTTGACCAGTGCATGTAATTACCTGCCGGACTGGTATGTAAATCCCTATGGGGTACATACAGTGACATGTGCATGTGCAAAATAGCTGTGCAGGAGATGGTTTGAGGGGAATACAAGTCCTGGAAAACTCAGACCAGGATGTCTACAAGGAAAAGTTACCCAATCAGCAGGTCATAGTTTTTGGCTGATAATTCATTCATATCCTGGGTGCCCTTGGAAAATTATTTGATTTCAAGACTAATTTGTCCCTTGAGGATGAAGTTTTGGCTACACTTCCCAAATGACCTCTACAGCTTAGGTATGTCAGACACCCACATTGCTGCTAAACAGCAAAAACTGTGCTGTGCACCAGGGGACAAGACCTTCAGCGGTCACAGGACTCTGCTCTGCGGAGGAAGAGGGGATCCCCCAGAGAAACAGCTCGCCAAAGCGATAGGTTGGGCACTGAAAAAAAGATGGAGAAAACACCGCTTACAAGCCCATTCTCTGCTTCCCCAACAGGGCTCCGAGGAGACCATTCGGGTGGTGTCAATGGACAAAGACTACCATGTGGAGTGCTATCACTGCGAGGTAAGCATCAGGCGTCTCTGCCAGCCTGCCACACAGCAGGGCTTTGCTGATAACTAGCAGCCTCTTGGTAGGTGCCTGACTCGCACCCCAGGGTGCGCGCGCTGGCTCTTGCACGTCTGGGCAGGTAGGGCTCTGCGCCATGGCTCCCGGAGGGAGGCAAAGGGGTGAGTGCTAGCTGGGCTGCAAGTGGTGCTGCCATCTCCAGTACCAAATTAGTTTCTTTTTTTCCCCAGTCTATAAACTTCAAAAGCTGGGTTTGGTTGTTCGGGTTGAATTTTCCCAATTCTTCCAGATGGGGAGAGAGCAAAGAGTAGGTGCCGGTTCTCTTTTTCCTGATCTCTGGATGCAGCTTGCGTGGCTCTGATCTGAGAAGACTTGGAATTTGTGTTGCCTGTGCAGGGAAGGACCCTCTCTCCTACACTGGAAGGCTTTTCTAGGGGATCTGATTTTTTTCCATGCTGAATGAATGTAAATTCTTTACTAGAAAAGAGACAGGGATACCACTGACTTTCTGTCACTTTTTTTAGGAATAGTTTCTTTTTGTGCAGAACGTTTATTTATTGGGGCAGATCAAGTTGCGGGATTAGTGCTCTTGCTTCGGCGAGGAGAGCTGAGTTCAGTCCTAGCTCTGAGTCTGGGAGCATGAGGAGGGAAGCAAACTCCGCAATTTGGGATCAACCCAAAACTTCCCTTTTGCTGTAGGTTTGGTGCTCAGATATAACATGCAAATATCCACACAGATTCTAACTGTGCTACCTAACTCTTTTAACAGCAGAGGGAAAACATGCAGCAATACTATCTTCCATGCACTTTTGCACAAAAAGGTTTTACGAAGAGATTTCCAATTGAGGGAGGAAATAACCTCCCTCAGGAGGAAATTCAGGGCATCCTGAAATGTATATGAACCTAAATGTAAGGAAGACCCCGTCCACTCAGCTGTCTCCTTCCAACAGAGATACCTGATACTCCATCCTTTTCTGTTAATTTTTAAAGAGAAATTGGCACAGGATATCGCAGCATTTTGGAGCGCTGTACTTCCCTCCTCCTTCTTCCCCCATCTATTGCTTTGTGCAGGCTTCACCTAAGATGACAGCTCCCTCCCCTTCTCTCTCAGGCTATTGACTTTATATTAGAATGTCCCAATGGGGGTTTATTTTCAGTTCTGTTTCATTATTCATTTCCCCATTCTCCTTCCAGTTTGAGGCAAATCAAGCTGTCTCCACATCTGCCCAGAATGGCAGAGTGCATTTATGTACAGAAATCAGGGGGTTAGCCATGTGTTAACAGGGGTGGGTTGCTGCCTAATGGTCTCAAATCAGGCACTCAAACTGTACACACTGGGCCACTGCGGTCTCCAAATACTGCTAGAAAAGTTAGTGCCAGTATTTTGAGGTACTCACTTTTGCAAAGGCTATGATGAGTTACGCAGCCACTTCTGAAATGCCATTAATGTCATCATCACCTGGTGGCCATGCAAAGTCAGTAGTCAGTTTGGAAACTTTGCTGCTTTTCTATATCATCTCTTTCTTGTGCCACCACTTAGCTTCTACTGAGAAGTTCAAGCCAGTTTACATATCAATAGACACCCACTCAAAAACTGAAATCCACTGAGAAGGCAGGTTTTCTCATTGCAGAAAAGGAATACAATTTTGGAGAGAGAAAAAGGTACGGAGACTTGGCATATCTGTAGGGTATCTGAAATTGTTAAATTCTAATGAGGAATTGAATTTTACATCTTGGATAAAGAACTATAGAGTAGTTATATAACATATATAACACACAGAAAACTACCTTGGCAGAAACTTTGATTAAAGCCTCCCTAAACTAACACTCCAGTTTTAAAGCTTACTTTAAAACCCATTTTTCGTTCTTATTTCAGCATTGTAAAATTTGAGGAGTTTAACTTGAGCTATGAAAGCTGAAAAATCATACTTTGTGTCCAATTAAAAACTTTGCAGCAGTTTTCAATAATAGAATTACCTATATGCCCAACTAGTTCAATTGGTTTTTTCCTTTGTATTAAGTGCGCAGATACATACTCAGAATCTCTGGTTTGTCAGGTCTGGTCACAGGAACAATTTTTAAGTATTTAACATACTTGAAACATCAAATCCAAGCACAAAACTGCGATGACTTTCCAATGTCCTCATAATTATAATGATGACAGCTGAGAACTGGGATCATCTCTACTGCGGTGTACATAATAGTCAGCAGGCAGGATCATTGTTTGTTGTTTTTCTTTTTATCTCTGCTCCTCCACTGTTGTTCACCCATGTCATCCCTGTAGTTATGTGCCAGTCCCAGAGATACTAACATATTTCCACTAAAGGTGGACCATTGGCCTTGAAGTCTTTATTTTTTTTTCATTCCAAATTTGGAGAAGGTGCAGCCCTGCTTCAGCAGGGAAACATGTCTCATCTCCCCCTCTTCCCCACTCCTCTCATTCTCTACTTATGCTCCCCCATTTCTTGCTCACTGCCTTGTTGCAGAATTAGCCCCTTTTCTGTTCTAACCTTTTCCAGGTTGTATGTGTCAGGGTCAGTCGTGGCCTATTTTGTCTGATTTGCATCAACATTTATTAGATGAAGAAGAGACCGGAATGGGAAACAATGGGGAAAAAATGCTTGGTACTACTATGGACTGTCCTGTTTGATTTCAGTGATGTCATTTTGCTTAATATGAGAGAGTCAGGGTCCACCTACCAAAAACTCTTGAGGTTGCTGGCTTTGGAGGCATGGGAGGGAGCTCTCAGGGTTATGCAAGATAGGTCAGCGTTGTTGTGAGATGACCTACCTGAATCACTCAGTAATCTGGGATGCATATGTTTCTTCTAGGATTGTGGCTTGCAGCTCAATGATGAGGAAGGCCATCGTTGTTACCCATTGGAGGGCCACTTGCTCTGCCACGGCTGTCACATCAGACGCCTTAATATTAAACTGCCATCACATCCACCTCCGAGCTATCCAATGCATGTCACAGAACTCTGAAAGACATTTCCATTACCAATAAGACGTTTGAAAGAGAAGACAAAAATCTAAAAATTAATTTCCTGTTCCTTTAAAGATGAGATTCCAGTAATAACCATCTAAACCAGCTATTTATTTTTTAAATCAGAGGTGAGGGGTCCTTTTCTGATCTTGTACATACGCATTCTTTTATCTAGACATTTTCACTGAGACACCGTCTACTTGAACAAATAATTCACCACTAAACTGTAACTGTAAATGGCAGCATTTATAAAAACAATGGTACAAAGGGCTGCTCTGCACTCCCTACCCACTCTCCTTCAGTGGAGATTTCGCCCAAGTAAGGGGTGTAGAATTACTTTCCAAAAGTTAGCACCTTATCATATTGCAGCAAGCATGATAAGATAAATGCTAGCATTTTAGCTAGTTTTGTTGAATTCTGGTCTTAGAGAATACAGTCTCACATTTTTAAAAACTTAGATTCCCAGAAGTAGTGTATAGGAAGCAAACAAGTGTTTTTTAGCAATGACAGTTTTCAGCACGGGTTAAATAATGGCATTCTATGAAGACACGTCAGGCCAGCTTTCCATCCTAGAAGGTTCCACAGTCATCCAAAGACTATTTAGCTTGTTAAAGAAATATGGCAAGCATCTCATATAAAAACCACATTACAGAGGAATATATCCAAAAGATTGGCACGTGCAGGATCCTAACAGTGGAAGAAAGTTACAGATCTCTGTAATTGCTTGCCGTGTACAAATGTAGCCATGGTTTCAAAATGCATTCATATCAACTTGATGATTTGGCACTTACTAAAGAATTCATCTTTTAAACCTGTTTTTTGTTTAATAGGGTTTGCAGCCCCTTTCTATGCAAAGGTACACTTGTCTTTATACTACTTGTTTTATACAAGACTTCATTTGTTACCAACTGCTTTATGATTGTATGTTGATACATTATTAAAAAAAAAAAAAAGAGGGGGACAGTGGTTTTTGTATTATCTTTTCAGCTTTGTGTTCTTTTCTAGATGTATTTTTGAACTGATTACGGTGATTGTCTTCATTGGAAAACAACGTTAGCAGAAATAATAATTTAGAGAGTCAGACCATTGAAACATTGGTATTTTATAACAAGTATTAGATGTACATAGAATGTACACACTTTCATATTTTGCATAAGCTTTTACAGTAACCTCAGAGCTCTGGGGAAATACATGTCTTCCGTATAGGAAGTTAGATGAATCTTTTTTTATGGTTTGTTTTCTACCATGTGTTGATGATTTACATGCAAATCACACATCTGTATGTTTAAAAAATTCCTTGCATTCTCATGAGAATTGATCCAGCCTTCCTGAATTTATATTTTAAATAAATCCATCATTGCTGTCTTTAACTGTATCCAAAATTACAGTAAAATAAAGTTGTTCTGCTCCAGAGGAAGTGGAAATACCAGGCCAGATTCTCCGCATGTGTCAATTGGGACATTTCCATGCCAGTTCTCAACATGTTGAGAATCTGACGGATCCCATTCAGAAATGATCCCATGTTAAATTTAGCACGCAGACTGATGAAATGACTTGACTTACTTGGCAACACTATTGCAATTTAGTTTCTTATGCTCCGTTGATTTTTTGAAAGCCATTTGTGGTGCTTTTGAAAAGTACAAAGAGCATCCAATGGACACTGATTCCTAAGTGGAATAATTAACTCCCTTAACAGAACTTTTTGATAGTCTGTAATTTCCTTATAGGGGAAGGGAGGGGGCAGGAAAAATTCCTGGGAGCTTTTTTTTCCTGTAAGGGACAAAAGGTATGTTTCCTGAACTTTTGCCAAACTTCCATTGGCCTAGATTAATCTGTCCTACTGAATGCTCCTTGGCAAGTCAGATGCTTGTTTAAAAAGTCATTTTTCTAATTAACATATATCAGTTTATAATTAACATACTTAATGTGGTAGCCATGTTTTGAAGGAATTACAGTGCAACTAGTGCCATGTTTCTACAGTGTGACTTAAGAGGCCTGGCCTGCAAAAGAGAGGACATTGGGTGCATGCACACTTCTTCTGCATTTGCAAACATTACCTCTGTGTCCATAGTCACCAGCCCAGCCTCAGAAGGAAGTGGAAGTACATGTGCCTCTTGCCCAAACAGCAAATGCTAGAAAAGGGAAACAAATTGTCTTAAATTGGATTGTATGACTAGGTCAATTCCTTAAGGTTATTACAAACATGGAAGATACCAGAACTTCAGGATAAACCTTTAGCATCAGCTGCAATGTAATACTTTTTCCATTTAAGGAAGCTGCTTTGGAGCACATTTACCTTTGAGGCATTTTTACTTGCTAGCTAGTCTTTATATAGTAAGGAACCCAAATTAAGAAAATTATCATTAAAATACACAGAGAAGGTTTGGGTCTGTTCCTGTGAGCAAGTCATCCCGTAACAGTACTTGCTATACTAGAAAAATGCTTTGCTCTACCAGTATAGAAGCAAAACCTTAAAAAAAAATCACAGTGGCCAGAGATGGAGATGACTTACTCTGGCATTCTGCCCAGTTTTCTGCCAGTGCCTTCCTTAGCACTTTGCCTGCTTCATGGCAAGTTTAAGTTTCCACTCCAACATACTTTTCAAGGGACAGCACACTAGCTAACATGTACATACCATACCTTTTCTTCTTTTTTTAAAAAAAGATCATCCTGTAGAACAAAATAATATTTAATTTCATTTCACATGTTAATTTGTCAGTCTCTTGTAGTTCTACTCAGTTCCAATGTGTTAAGTATCAGCATGGTAAAAATATCAAAAGGTAATATTTCAGTATAGAATAAGCAATTTGTTTAAAACCAGAAAGCAGCAGTTGTTGTTCCAGTATTTTCTATAGACAGGTGCATTCCATTACTGTATAATGAAATACAGCTTTGCTTTTCCAGCATTTAGTATAAAAACTGGAGCTTGAGTGAAATTTGCCAGTTTGTTTTGTTGTTGTTTTTTTTTTTTCCCCCAAAGAGGAAAAATAAAAGCAAGTCTAAAATAATGATGTGCTGTACTCTTTAGTGCTAGTGACATTTTTCTGCATATTTTATCTCCCGTCTGGGGAATTATGTAAATGAGAAAGCTTCTTTTGATGATTTTTCTTAAGGAATATTCAGTTCAAATCAGTTCAACACAGATGTAAACTTTCTAGAGTTCATTTTATGATGTGGTTGTTCTTCAGAAGCCTTTGCTGTACTTTGAGAATATTTCCATAAAGTTAAAACAATAACAACTTGTTCTCATTTGCATCAGGACTACACCTTTCCATTTTGGTAAGGAATCCTACAAAGTCCCTACAGCACAAAGCTGTTGGAGGCGATTCAGAGTCCCTCGTGCACTGGAGGACGTGTTCCAAAGTACCAAAATAATAATAATTTGAAAACAAAACAAAAGAATGCACTCAGATAATTGCGCTTTCAAAGAGAGTTTGTTTGGGTTTCTTTCCTTTTCCTTTCACTTGTGTGCCCGTCTGTGTGTGTATATATTTTGTAAGGTGGAGCTTCAAAAGGAAAACATGGTTAGAGGAGCTCTTTAAGACCAGAAATTCCAGAGTAGTTAAGTAAACCAAAGCTCTAAAGGAGACAAAAGCTGCTTTCTTGTGTTTCAAGAAAAGTTTAAAAGTTTGTGATTCATCCTGTAACTAATGCCGTAACTAGAGTATATAATTTGACTTAAATTAAGTTTTCATTTGAGAAATATTTTCATTTTCTTTAAAAGAATATAGTTTTCTTCCAAGAACTTGGACCAACGTTGATTTTTATTTTGTAGGAAATATATAAATTCCCAGTTTGTATATCATGTAACTAGTTTACATGCTGAAAATATACATTAGTTTAACTATTTTTGTGTATATATCCTTGTAAAACCTTTCAATGTGCTTCTGTCTTGTAGTCTTTAAAATTACTTGTGGTTTTGTGTTACAGTGTTTGATTCCCTTGATTGTTGAAGAAAAAAATTGGGAAATGTAGATTTATTTATCTAAAGAAGAAGCTACTTGCTATCATCCTAAGTTATTTAATATTAAAGTCAGAAGTTTCATTTAACCTTAGATGCTATAATCTGCTTTTTTCAATAAAGACATTTTGTAGTTATCTTTGATTTTGTAGTTTGTTGCATATAAGTATTTCATTTTTTTAATCTAGGTGGGCACTAGAACAATTTTCAGGAGACCCTTGTATTGCCTACAGAAATGCCTAACTGATATTAATTGATTGCAGCTGCGTTCATGAAAGATTTTGGTCCTCCAGTGCAAGTGTTACTAATTAAGGTCTAAAATATGCCCACAGCTAACGTTTTGCAGCTGCACTTAGAAAAGAATTCAGCCACTCTGGCAATTTTTAATTAAGCTTTAACCAGGCTGGCTAGTTCACATGTAGGACAGTCAGTATTGAGGAACACTTCCTTTTCAAGACTATTTTTTGGAGTGTTCCAGAAGAGAAGTACTTGCCTGGGCTATGAATTTGCATAGCTTTAAGCAGTCAGACCTTGGTTTGGGGAATTTTCTTGCTAAGTCACAGTAATTCAGAAACTGCGGCCAGAGCTCTGACAGGATCGAAAAGATGCTCTTTTATGTATTTTACCTTTCTGAAGCTCTTTGCCACTTTCTTGTCTCCAGCTTCATGGCACAGATGGGAGCTTGATCACATTTACCTTCTGCACACAGTGGTCCTGCAAGAGCAGCTGTGTCTGTCAGGCAAAAGGTTCATCAGCGCTGGTATCTTGTCTCCAACTATGGCCAAAAGTGGATGCCTGGAGAAAGAGTACAAGAACCAGTTTCTTCCTGGTTTCCTTATATTCAGTGGGTTTCCTTTCCATTAAGCTGGTCAGTCTACCATCCTTGTGGATGCTCTTTCCGCCAGTGACTCACAGAAGCCAAATACTCACAAGCTGCTACTTCAGTGTGATGCCACCGTCTCCTCCAAAGAGGCCTGCTCTGCAGCTCTGCCACCCTGGCTTTGCAAAGTACAAATTACTTCACATTTGGAAATGAAACTTAATGGTGGTTTTCACACAATGGCTATTTCGGCAAATTTTTCTTTTGCACAGTCAGAATGGAAAGAGTTACAAATGCCACAATTGTTTTAGGGACACAGTCTGCACTTCTGTGCTTTGAAACAGATGTACCACGCTTCTGTAGGGCCTTCACATACATGCTATTTTCTCACTCTCATAATTTTTTAAAATTCATTCAAAATGAGCAATTCA